ATTTACAATCAGTATACAGAGAATCCCTAAAAGAAGCACAAGCATTAACCGCTAACAAAGATTCTGCATAACAAGTTTCCTCAATAGATTTGACCTGCACAAAATATATTATAGTCATTCAGTCAGTAATCTCAACAAGAACAAAACAAACATCGCAACACTCATAAAACCTCAAACCAAGACTTATCGGATGCTTTCCAAACTTATCAGCAGAGACACAATCATATGAAGCATATTTTCTGATCATTGAACCTCTCCAACACAGAATTCTTGGTAAATTTGGGGGAATCTGGTGACGAGATCCGAAGTTTAGGAAGTCTAGATAGTAAGCCTACAAGAAATTACAAAGTGGTCAGTAAATACATTACATATAGATGACAAAAGGAATTGATAGGAAAACAAGCAATGGAAAAAACACATGTTGCCTACCAACTTCTTGCCAAAGGTCTTGATGAGGGGTAAAGAAGTCTCGTTGATTTCTTTAACAAAATTGGCCTTTGCAGACTCATCTTTCTGTTGCCTGATGTCTTCACCACCAATTGGAATCCCTAAGAATAGGTGAACTGATTTTACAGAAAAAGAGACTACTTTGCCTCCAACAAGTATATCACAATAGTTGACATCGACTTGATCCGCAATCCATTGGACAAAGTTTCTAGGCACTGAACATCCATCATACTCAAGCAAGATCCCAAATACATGATCCCCAATGATCTTTTTCTTACGCTCATCCAATTCTCTTATTTTCTGTCCAAAATACTTGTTATTGCACCTGCTTCCTGCTTTAGCAGATGAACTCTCACCAGTAGTTGATTTTCCTTTACCAGTGCCTTTAACATCTCTAGTATTCTGAAAAAACGATGAAAAAATAAGTTTCCAGTTATGAAACTAATCATCATTTCACTAAACATGGTGTAAAAAAAAGCACATGCTACTGAATTTACCTTTACAGCACGTTTCTGAACTCCAGAACGTCGTGATTTCCCTTTCTTCTGAATAGACATAGAAAACTAAAAAAACAATATCAATAGTTAGTTCATAAGAAATATAGTGGCATGGACTGATTCGAGTAACTTAATTGCTGAAGAATAAGAACAGAAAAGGTTGATATGTGCAAATGAGAGACAGACTGATGTCCAACTCCTATAACTATGACATAGTGAAGGTAATAGTCCAAAGAGATAGACAAATATGCATAGTTCAGTAATAAAAGTTTCAGAACATACTCCAAAAACACTCCTTTCAAATGCTTGAAAGCCTGGACTGCTACAGCAGGATCAATATCATCATCTGAGTAGTTTGGATCCTAAAAAGGAAACAAGATATATCATATTATATACACAGGTGTATAAACAAACAAAATCAAGTAAACTTATTACCTCGCCAATATTCAATAAATCAGAGTTGTTGTCTTCTTCAGAGTTCATATCAAACTCATCATCACTCTCACCATTTACAGATTGAGCATTAGAACCAAACTCATCATCATCCATGGCTATATAACAAAAAAAAGTTTAATCAACTATTGTTTTCTTAAAAAATATGCATGCCTATCATTCAGAAACTCACAGAGGCTATCAATGTACTCAAAAAGAAGTATATAATCCAACAGGCACTTCAAAAGACATGACAACAGATAGATACTGGACCATGAACACAAGCAACCATTTTCAAAGATGTTGGATCATTGAGATGACTGCTAAACTTTATCTATATAACAGCTAACCTGATCACTACATCATTCAGATGCCTTTAACTATTTGAGGTATTGGATCACCACGGTACATCTAGTTGAGATACTACCAGATCATGAGAAGTACAGTATTTATTTTTTTAGAAAAAACACAAATGAGCAGTTGGGCACTATTGTGTTAAGTTCTATGTGCTCAATACAACCCCAGATCAAATCAGCAAGCACTACTACAAACCTCAGCTAGTGTAAATGAGCAATGCAACAACAGTAGTTTTTGTTGTTAAATGCTGGAATCACAAACTGATAGAGAGATTCAGACTAGAAAAGAACAAAACAAATTGATAGAGAGATTTCAACATATTTGTGACTCTTAATATTTGGGTTCTCTAGTTTCAGTTTCAGTTAAATGCTGGCAGGAGACAATAGTCAGGTTCTAGTATCAGTTCAATGCTGGTTGGAGACTACAGTCAGTAATCAGTTCACTCAACTCCTAACATGTTCAGACAACAGGCAGTGGCTAAAAGCATGAAACCTAAAGCAGTAGCAACAGAAATATGCACAATTTAGTCAAACTATGCAGCGGCCACCCCCGACCATGCAGCGGCTGCCTCGATGAGTTAGCGCCGCACCATCGCCACCCCCTCTCCCCCAGCCTCTGCCCCACCTCAACAACAAGGGGACTAAAAGTTGGTCATCTACGGCAGCACGAACACGCGCAATTGATGAGTTACTACAAACACAACAGCAGTACACACCACATCCCCGCAGCATCGACTTGCTTCCGGCGATGACCATTGCCAACCCTGCCCCATCTCAAGCAAATTAAAACACCTCTGCCTATAAATGGAGTGACAAGCATCGCCTAGCAATGGAGTGACAAGATTTAGTTAAAAATAGAAAGCAAATTAAAAGAAAACTCAAGCAAACACAGGTAAAAATCTAAAAAATCAGAAACTAACATATATATGATAACAAAGATTCAGTTAAAAACACATGAATTTCAGTTTAAAATAGACTAGCATCCTGAACTCCTAAGTCGACAAATGACGCACCGTTGCAGGGCTAAGGGTATACATTTCTTGTGAAGAAAAGATAACAATCTTTCCTCCTTGTGGAACAGCACAAACTAAAGCGGTATTCCCATATTCTCATTTGGGATCAGATCGAATAAATGGAAACAACATGGGTAAATTATACAGAATCAGAGTTTGATTCACAAAATAATACAAGCATAATTCAATCAACCCCTAGACGGCTACAACACAAACAGAGCAATCAGCCATAGTCTTACAAAATGCATGAACTAATTTAACTTGGTAGATGGGCCTAAACATTGACATGGCATTCATGGCAATACAGGAGCATATAGTAATACTGATGGGCCGAGACTATACAAATGCATGAAGAAAACCCATCCTCGCACAAGCTTGCCGGCCACAGTCTAAATTCCCAATCTCAGTCTGTCTAGAATTTACTGTGTGCAGGATCACCAAATTTCCTAAAAAAATTTTGGACGGAAAAGTCAAAACAGAAAATCCAATTTCAGAGATACCAACAAGGATGCCCGTTCCTGGGTTCTACTGGTTGCCTAAACACAAAGAAACAGGAATTGAAATTGGGTTTGCGCTGAATGATTGTACTGTTGATAAACCATAAACGACGGAGTTGCCAGCTTGAGTTGAGGAAAGAAATGATCACCTCTACCTAAACTCATGTCTACTACTAGTGTCTAACAATGACACACCAGTAAACCACATACAGAGAACACGCAAGCCTGAACCTGAAGTCTGACCCATTCATTCTGAAACGAACTCTGTACGATCTACAGGCAAAACAATATGCAGATGGAACGGCATCCCGAAGCACAAGGTACAGCTAACAAAGTCAGACCTGTTGGCGGCGGAGCAGATACAGGAGGCCATCGCCTGCCTCCCACGCGCGGCTGGAAACCGCGCTAGCCACCAACGCGCCGCCACTGGGCCTCAGGAAACTGATGGCAAACAGAGATCTAAACAAGAGGAGTGGCGGCCCCGGTCTCAACAACGCTCGCACTAGCACCCGGTCGCTCATTGTCTCCCGCGGACGCGAAGAAGAGACAGCACCCATGGCCCGCGCACGCGTGGCCGACACGGACGAGGGTGCCGCGTCGTCGTCGTCGGTGCTGGTCCCCCCATCTTCTACCCAATCGAACCCTGCCGCCCGCTTACATTCCAAAATCCCCCACCCAAATCTCCATCCCTCTGAACTCAACAAAGTACTCCACACATTACGAAACGGGAATTGATTACACACCTTTGGCAGCACTCTGCGCCGCGGGAGTGCGAGTTCGTCGGACCAAATCGCCACAGCGCCAATGAAATCGCCTTGGGCGCGTGTCGCGGGGCAAAACGTCGAGGGGAAGGAAGACGAAGGGGAAATGAAACGCTAAAAAACGGAGAGGCGCGATTCCCAATTTTTCAACAATACCAAAAAAGTGGGCCCTCCAAATCAAAGAAAGAAGCGGCGGTGGCAAGGACACACGATGCCCATCCAACGAACAGAAAAAACGTGTGCCAACACAACCAAAAACACTTGAGTCTGATATAGCATTTCTGTATTTTTTTTTTTTTTGGTTTCGTGAATTGACGACAAAGTGTTGTTATGAGTTTCAAGAAAAAAACAAAGTGTTGTTATGTGCTCGGATAGAAGATGCTTTAGCTTCCAAAAAAGTGTATTTAATTTACGTTGCATATATATACTCATTATTAGCTCATCAAACACCTCGCTCGTAATTAAAACCACAGCTTAATTTTTATTTTTTGAGGAAACCACAGGCTTAATTTGAAAGAAAGAAAGAAAGAAAGAAAGAAAGAAATAGCTGGGGGGCCGAGGCAGAGCGTGTTGGGCTGGACCATTGTTAAATCTTGACAGGCCCTGATGGCCGCTACGAATAGAAATGGGCCGGACCACCCGGTCATGTTTAGACAAACTAGCAAGCGACGTGCTCACCAAAACAATTTTTTCTTTTGTATATAGTAATTATCCTCTCCTTTATTTTTGAGAAAAATTCAGATATTATGGTTGTGCTTTTATAACCAGGTCTGTTTGCCGTTACCACGGCTATACAATCGAATGGAAGTATTTTTATCTTTCATTCACAGTTCCAAATTTCATTCCAATCAAATGAAATGATCCGTAGCGGCATATAATATAATTCTGTATTTGCTATCTGTAACAATTTTTAAGTTACTGTTGCAAAACATGTACTGTATATATTTTCTTTATAACTGAAAATCTCTGCATCGCCCACCCAGTGTCTTTTTCTACATCAGTTGCCATTGTTTCCCCAATAGGTCTGGCCGACTCGCGCGCCGTCGGCTACCGAGTCATCCACCTCCGCCCCTTCAACCGCGTTGGCCGGCTCGTCGTCGGCCACCTCGCCACCAGCTCCCGGCGCCGGCATCCAGCCCGTGGCCGCGCTCCCTTTCCCCTTGGGGTTGAGCAGCGACGCCCACATCGCGAGCTGCTCCTGCCTGGTGGTCGTCGTCGACCCGTCGCCCTCGTACGACGGCCGCTGGCGGCGTTCCCGCTCCGGCCGCTCCCGCACGACCTCCTCCCCCTCGCTGCCCTCCACGGCGCCTGCGCCGCCCGCAAGGTCGCCGGCCCCGACCCACGGCACCGGCCTGTGCGCCCAGTACGCCGCCGCCGACGGCAGGTGGTGGTGCACGCCCGCGAACGGCAGCCACTTCCCGGCCCTGGTGGCCGCCGCCGCCGCTGCCGCGCGCCGCTGATGATCTCGATGCCCAGCCGGCGCCAGCGCCAGCGCCGACGTCGTCGTCCCGGACGATGCCACCGCGGCCTGCCATCCCATCGGCCGCGCGGCGGAGGCGCCGTGGAGCACGGCGAGGAGGTGGAACGCCGTCGCGACGGCGATTGCGGCGAAGGCGCGAGGCATGTTTGGTGCAAATCGCAGTGGTGGAGCGGAGCACTGACCAAATGATGGAGCTTTATAAGGATTTTATACTTGAGATGGTTGGATCCAAATGGTGAAAGCTTGGGAACAAGTGAAACAGGTCGTGCACAAGGTAGGAGAAGGTGGTGGAAATGCAGGTGTTATACTTGCCTCCCAGCTACTGCCGTCTTACCCATACCGGCGTTGACTGCCTGCCGCGCATGCTGCCGGAGAGGAACGTGGTTAGGTTGGTCATGTAATGTGTCCATTTTGTGATTGTTTTTTATCTGTTGCTATGTTCGTTGCAAATATAAGTCACTTTAATTTTTGTACTAAGTCAAATAATTTCCTATAACCAAGCTAAAAATGCACTGGCATCAAAACACCACTTCACTTTAAAACATGCTTATAGAAAAAATATACACAAATATCAAAACACCATTCTAGAGCCCGACTTTTATAACAAGAGCATGTTTGACACAACTTCTTGTGGCTCCGGCTCCTCCTGCACCAATAATTACAGCAGCACTGTTCATAGAAGCCTTTTGTTTCTCTCCCAACAACGGGCCTCTACTTGAGTTGGTTAGATGGCTTCAGTAGTACCACTCAGGTCCTGGTTCGACTCCCCGTGAAAGCAAATTTCATGCTAGGGTTGATTATACTGAGGAGCTCTGCTCCACGATGTTTCTTTCAAAACAACATGAATGTGGAGCCGCTAGAAGCCACGATTTGTGGTTCCTTCGACTTCGGCTTCTCCAGTACTGTAATGTGGAGCCTATATATCTACACCAGAAGGTTCCACTACAATAAATGTAACCTTCTACGGTGAATATACAACAGAGCTATTTATTATTAAATCATTCGGTTTGACAAATTTTGTAGGAACTAGTTTAGGTTAATGACGAAAATATATCATGCACCAATGATGTCAACCCAAAATCATCATAACCTACTTCGTTGTGATATTTATCATGACTTTTACGTATTTATCCATCATAATTGTATCATCCAAAATATACACTCCATCTGTCCACAAAATAATGTAATTATGCTTTTTGAGGAGTCAAAGAGTTTAAACTTTGACTAAATTTATATAAAAAAGTACTAACATTCATAATACAAAATACATACCATTAGAGTAGTTATATAATATATTTTCATAATAAATTTATTTGGAGGCATAAATGCTAATACTATTTACTATAAATTATATCAAAGTTGAGCTAGTTTGACCGACACAGATCCCACAATTACATTCTTTTATGGTCGGAGGGAGTACTTCGGTATTGTGACATGTGTCCTAATGTATTCTATATTCACAAATGTCACACCTCATTATTTCTATCTCGATACGTGCTCTAACACTACTAGAGTAATAGATTATCATTTTTATAATTTTCTCACTGTATTTTATGTATTCATGTGTCACATCTCAAAATCTTTAATTTTTATGTGAATAGATGACATAAATAAACCATTGTATTTTTCTCAAGTATTTAACAATTTTGTTCAAGATTTGGTTAAAGAAATGAATTTTATTTGATAAAATGTTATTCTATAGTTTAGATGTAATGACACAAAACAAAAAAAATTGAAAAATCAAGTCATTATTTATATAAATGTTATAAAGACCTTTTTTTGCCCTTCTCGTGTTGATGCATACAAGCTTCTATGAGCATGTAATAAAATGTTCCAAAACCCAAAATGTTTATAAATAAGTCCCTAAATCTCACATCCAAGTTTCTCGGGCATCAATATCTTTTTATTAAATTTTCTAGATTTTGTAGATTAAGATTGTATATAGTTTGACTAATTTTGAACTCCCTAAAAGTTAATTTTTTTAACTCATCGTAGCCATTGGGCCGAATCTTCTCACCTTGCCTTCGTAGGTCTACTGGGCTGCAAGCCGCCCCCTCTCCCTCTCTATTTCACCTGCGAAAATAGCGATTAACGCAAACCATTTGAACGAGGAAAATCTCTTTTGACCGCCTGCAAAAGAACTGTGTAGTGGTGATTTATCCAATTTATTTTTTCCAACGAACCTTTCCAAAATTGTATCTCATCCATTTAAACTTTGATTGACCTGATTCTTCTTTGTAAATTCAGATAAATTTTTTGGGCCGGGTAGCGTACTTAAATATATTATTAGAGACCTAAATCGGACTAGGTGGGAATTTTACGGATCACCTACGTACTGTAATTATGAACTGCATGTCGATTTGTCATGTCAACTGCGCTATGACATAGTTGCTTTGGACCAGGATTAAGATTAAGAAACTTAATTATATATATAAGGTTTAGAGATCTAGATAGTTCACTTTCATAGTTTGAGACCTAAACAAAATGATGTAGTAATTATTAGTAGTTTAAAGACCAACTTTCTAATTGTTAATCTGATAGAATAGAACCCACACACGAGACGCCGGCTAGGATCTGAGGAGGGGCGGGCAAACCTTGGCCTGCGCGCACGTTTCACAAATCAGAATTGCATTCCTTATTAAAAAAAAATCACAACTGCATCTGCTCACCGCCAGTCAGTGTCCGGCATGGCAGCATCATCGCCGGTCCACTGTTCCCTGACTAGCACGGCACCTTTTGCATCGGCAACATTGTGTCCCGTTGGTCCTTGAGGTTGAGGCTGAGGTGGAGATACGTCTGGCATAACAGGTGAACAATGCCGCATCGCCGAGTAGAGAGCTCATCGGCCGTGTCAAAGGAGTCCTGAAAAGTAGTCGAAGACTAAGGAGTCAACAGATTGGACTTTCGAACAAAGGGCCGGCCGGACGCCACACATCCAAAAGCCATAATTGATCTGATGCAGTTTATTGCTATTGGAATTGAAAACACGCAGAAAACGATGCCCATGAATCAGATATATATAGCTCTGTGATTTTCTTCAGTTTCTCCTATAAACTGCTCTTCGTCCAAATAAAGCGTGTCCACATAACCAACTATTAGACTGCTTATATCACCAAGCAACCACTCTACCCTTCTGGTCATTTCTCAAAAAGCATCAATATTTCTTTGAGGACTTCAATTAGGAGAGAAGTATTGATCTTCAACATGGTACACGCATGCATATCCTTCTACCGATGTTGTTTATGGCTTTCCCCTAATTTCTTCCCCTTGCATGCTTCTTATATCTCTCCAAGTTCTGCTGTTCAGTTATCCTATATGGTAGGGATTACTTTGGTGCCCGGACTGTGATTCTATGCAAATAACTCAGACAGAAAAGGGCAAGGCTGGGACAAAATGGTGCTGCTAGTCCATCATATCTCAAAAGGTTCCTCTTAAGAAGCGCCGTCCATAAATCATCTCTCCAGCAGGCAGCAAAGGTTCCTCTTCCTTCATCTTCATCGTAACCGTAAGTATAAAAAGGTCACCATGCAACATCTTCACACGTCGATAGCCATTCTTATATTGCTTGGCTTCCTTTTCCACCTCAACGCTGTTGCCGGGCTCTCTACTGTGTCTTCCCCAATCTCTTGGAAAGTTTCAAATATGACAGGCGAAATAGCCATGGACAACGGATCTTTTATCCTTCCTGTTCTTGAACATAGCATCATGTCATATACAACTTATTTTGGCTTCTACAGCATAGATGGTAAATCGTTCATTCTCTCTATTGTGATTGATGGACCCCAAGCTCCAGTGATCTGGTCTGCCAACCCTGACGATGCTGTAAACAGTGGCGCCATCTTAAACTTCACCAGAGAAGGGAGCTTGCTCCTTCAGAATGACGATGGTACCACGGTGTGGTCCACCGCCACAAACAGCAAGTCAGTTGCAGGTATGGTCCTCGACGTGTACGGGAACCTAGTGATCTTCGATCAGGATAACACCTCTGTCTGGCAGTCGTTTGACCACCCAACTGATACCTTGGTAATCGGGCAGTCACTTTGCATGGGAATGAACCTCAGTATCAGAACCTCATACACAAAATGGTCATCTGCCAGGATTTATTTTTCTGCAGAGTGGAATGGGCTGCAGTACTCTTTCAAACCAGCAGCCTTTACAAAGTTGTTTGAATCTGGTACTACACAATCAACTTGTTATGCATTTGCCAATGGTAGCTTTGGGTTTCCAGATGATATATTCTTCCTACCCTCTGCAAGATCATTACAATTCATGAGGTTGGAGTCTGATGGGCATTTAAGGCTCTACGAAATGCAATGAATCGTCCAAGACCCTCTAATGCTACTTGATGTATTAAGCACAAAAATGAAGTTTTGTGATTATCCAATGGCATGCGGGGATTATGGTGTTTGCAGCAAGGGACAATGTTCCTGTCCTAATTTGAATGATTTTAGGTTCCAAAATGAACGGCTGCCAAGCGCTGGATGCATACCCTTAAGAAGCCCCTCCTGCGACCATGTGCATGGCAACAGGCTAATACTACTCAACAATGTTTCGTACTTCAGTAACAGCATGTTCTTGTCATTTGCCACTTCAACTTCTCAAGACGTGTGCAGACAATCTTGCTTAATTGATTGCTCTTGCAAAGCAGTTCTTTTCCAAACTAACAACAATTTCAGTGATTTCCTTCCAAAAAACAACAATCTCAGTGATAGTGGTTACTGCTTGTTGTTATCAGAGCAAATGTCAATTTTGTTTTGCAGAGGATTCATCAAATCATTTTTCAGCATTTCTCAAGATAGAAGGCAATCAGTCAGATAAAAGGAGGATCAGTATTGTTGTGGGCTCAATTGCAGGATTTTGTCTAATATCTATCTTAGTTTGTGCAGTGGTATGGAAAAACTGCAAGAAAGACGAGGAACCACTCTTTGATGGCATACCCGGGATACCAAAACGTTTCTCCTTTGATGAGTTAAAAGTTGCTACAAGCCACTTCTCTATAAAGCTTGGTGCTGGTGGCTTTGGGTCTGTATTCAAAGGTAAGATAGGAAAGGAAACTATCGCTGTCAAACGCTTGGAGGGTGTCGAGCAAGGAATGGAAGAGTTCTTAGCAGAGGTCAAAACAATTGGTCGAATCCATCACTTCAATCTCGTAAGGTTGGTGGGCTTCTGTGCTGAAAAATCACATAGGCTTCTTGTGTATGAGTACTTATCCAATGGCTCTCTGGACAAATGGATCTTTCAACAAAGTCCAGTATTCACTCTTTCTTGGAAAACTAGACGCCATATCATTTTGGCTATTGCTAGGGGTTTGTCTTATCTCCATGAGGAATGTGAGGAGAAGATTGCCCATTTGGACATCAAGCCACAGAACATTCTTTTGGATGACAGATTCAATGCAAAGGTCTCAGACTTTGGACTTTCGAAAATGATAAACAGGGACCAGAGCAAAGTTATGACTCGAATGCGAGGAACACGTGGATACCTAGCACCTGAATGGCTGGGCTCAAAAATCACAGAGAAGGCTGACATTTACAGCTTCGGGATTGTGATGATCGAAATAATTTGTGGCCGAGAAAATTTGGACGAATCACAGCCCGATGAGAGCATCCATTTGATAAGCCTGCTTCAAGAGAAGGCAAGGTCTGGTCAGTTGTCTGATTTGGTGGACAGTAGCAGCAATGACATGAAATTCCATTTGGAGGAGGTCGTGGAAGCGATGAAGGTTGCAATGTGGTGCTTGCAGGTTGATAGCAGCAGAAGGCCCTTGCTGTCAACAGTGGCCAAGGTGTTGGAAGGAGTGATGAGCATGGAAACCACACCTGACTGCACTTTTGTCCCTAGTTTTGCATCAAACAAAACCAATTTGGCGGGATCAACTTCTTCCTATGTGCCATCTGAGTCACATTTATCCGGGCCTAGGTGATACAATGTCTGGTTACCATTGTCTCGGCTGGTCAGTTTATGCATATCTTAATGTACATCTCAAGAAATTAAGAACTGATCATATATGGATATGGCACTACTATCTACATTATTCTCTTTCATACCCATAGTATCAGGTGAGACTTCATGCTTCGCCAAGAGGTCAATGGTTTCATCAGTATAATGTGTACCCTTGTTGTAATGACTAATCTGTGCTACTGCACGAGCTCTGTTTAGGCAGAGGCATGAAGCTGCAATGCCACACCTAGCACCTAGATGTTTTGTTTACCGTAATTTTACATAGAGATGTTTTGAGCCCGATATATGTATAAAAGTCGGGCAAATTAGACAAGGATAAAGATGAACTATGATCATATATATTACTCGTGAATGCATGATAATATAATTTATTCTTATATGCTGAAATTTCTTTTATTTAACATGATATTACTCTCAGCAACCACAGAAAGTACAAACACCTAGCAAGATCTAGGTATCGCCTAGGCACCTCTAGGCGCACCAGAGTCCGTCTGCCTGCCTAGCGCCTAACGCTTTTTGAAAAACTGCACACTTAGCAACTTTAAGAGATAATAAGTATTAAAAATTTATGTATAAATTTGGACCAGCGACAAATCAAGATTCCTTACCTTTGCTGCTTTCTCTCATGTGCTCGTATTCTAACCCAATACTCAGATAGATACTTTCTTATGTATCAAATTGTGATAGACTTACCAATTATCCAATACTTTTCCATCCCAATTAATAGTTGTTCATTTTGCACTTTCATGTGTGTTAGGCGTAGTAGTTAAAACTCCCTCTCATGTGATTACATTCTAACACAATACTGATAAATACTTTTTTTTTCCTTACAATGTTGTGATAGGCTTTACTTACAATTATTTATCTACTTTTTTTTATCCTCGTTCCCATTTTTACCCATTCGTATCGCATTTACGCGTGTGTTTAACTTTGTATTCAGGTAATACTCTCTTTTGTGTTTGTGCTCTAATAAAATATTCATATAGATATTTCCTTATATTTATCCTCTTATGATAGACTTTATCTACCAATTAAGTTATATAGTTATCCATCACATTCATATTCCACATTATCGTCGCATCTTCATGTGTAATTGGTGTGTTATAGATGAGACCTTGGATTTAGCTATGTATTCAGCTTGGAAATCAACATGCTCATCTTTATGAAGCATATATAGTCTGCATTGAGTCCAATTAGTTGCTTGCATTACAATTGCATTGCATTAGGGGTTATATTTATGTAGCATACCGTTAATCTGAACAAGGCTATGCAATTTGCTGGTGTTTGGTTCGCAACGTATACTATTATGCATGTGACTGGTTGTTTGGATAGCAAGCTGTAAACTGTTATCCATATGATTGTTTGCCCCCAACCTGCAATTGATAGTTTGATCAGAGAACGCAGTTGCCGCAGTTGATAATTTTGGAAGCCATTGGCACATAGGATCAGAGAATTCAGTTGTTGTAAGTTGTAACTGATGATTTAGTCAAAACAATGCTACATGGGACCAAGTTTCTGATATACCTGCGCTGGGGCAGAGCAACTTGAGGATCTCGATGCTCTCGTTGCAGTTGCAGACCACTTCGCGGCATTCGGCGTCCCACAGCATTGACACCGAGGCCCTGTCCTCAAACCCGCCACTCCGCAGCGCGAACACCTCCCGGAGTCCCGGGGCTTCCAGTCGCCGTAGAGCCGGTCAGGGCTGTCGGGCGTGAAGAAGCTGCTATGCCGAAGAAGCAGGAAGGGGCACAGAAGGCGCCCGTCGCGGGGTCGGACATCGACGGCTGCCGCATTAGGAGCTCTGCTATGCCGCGGCCCAGCCGTGGCGCATGGCGAGGATGAGCTATGCGAGGAGCAGCGTGTGCCCCCACAGCAACCGGGAGACGGCCGCGGTGACCGGTGAGGGGTCCTGTGAGGCCGTGATGCAGCGGGCGAGGAAGGGAGGAGGCGGCGGCCGGCGGCGTCGTAGGAGATGTGGCCCATGTCCAATGACTTCGGCACGGGCGTGCAGCGTGGGTGCGGGTGCGGGTGGATGGGGACATTTTGGGTAAGAACAAGTTTAGATAAATTTGCAATAAAGATATATTTTTATAACAGTAATAAAGCTATATTTTGCTTGAGTGTTTAGTTTTTTTTTAGCAAAAGCTTGTGTGTTTAGTAGCCAAACAGACCGCTCGGAACGACATGGCATGGGCCCGGTCAAAGCACGGCCTGTTAAGGTTGGGCCAGGCACGGTAGCCATGCCTGATAGGGTCACGGGCTTGAGCAATGGCCCAGGGTCCAGGCACAGTGCTATGGGCCGTGCTAGTGGGAAAGCACGACCCGACCAACGTGTCGGGTCAACCCAAGGTTCACTAAATGTCACCAGAGACCATAGAAAAGGAGGGAATTAATGGGGAGGCAACGTGAGTTGTGGGAGATGGCAACCGAAGTCCGAGACAATCAAAAAGAAGCCTCAAAGGCATAATTCCAATGTGGCCACAAAAGTTTTCTAACAGAGGCGTGCGTGCGGAGAAAACACAAACCTAGAGTTCTAGCACTAGTGTTACTTTTGTTGTTAACCTAGAGTTTATTGGTGAGGTTTGCTCACCTCTTTGCTACTGGTGTTTGCACGCGCGAAGCTTGTATATTTTGAGGCTGGTAAGTCTTGCGAGATCTCTCCAACCAAGTTTGTGGAGTGACCACTGGTGGTGTAAGGAAGAAGAGGCCCTCGACATTTTGACCGAAGCTCTCTACCAAGTGAATATGACAGATAGCAGTTCGAGAGAGGTTTTGGTGGGACTCACTTGTACGTGGAAAAGTCACCTTAACTATATGTCCATGGAATTACCTGATCGAAAACTTGGTCACGTCAGCGAGACCTAGTCGAAGGCGCAAGCTTTCCAATACCTCGATAAAAAAACTTCACTTTAAAATTAGCAGTAATCGGCTCCCTGTTGAATTCCCTTGAAACAACGCCACTGGTTCGAGCTTGGAGCACAGATGTGGTGCTCGACGGCACCTAGTTGTACCAACCAACAGAGCAAGCTAAGGCAGCAACAGCAAGCTAAGCGCTCGGTACATGCATGTTCTCTACGTCTTGGGCCTGTGTCTTTGCTTCTCCCCCGCCATGAGAGTCGATGCACCATTCTCCTTAAGGGTCCCTTCGGTTTTCTTGAAATGGAACAGGAACAATTCTATTTTCTCAAGATTAGTACAAATTTGTGCAACAATTCAACCAGGAATTATTCCATGATCCTATTCTTAAGGAACCGAACAAGCCCTAACACAAGAGGATATATGGAGCAAGAACTTAACACCGACTCCTTCAGAAGAAGACGAACTAAACACAGGAACGCTACCCTTCCAGAACGCTACGGCACAGCAAAGCTGAAAACTGCCCGTCTTCCCGTGTACCGCGAAAAAAGTGATGCATGCGACTAGCAGAGCCTGATGTCATCATCGCATCCGCATCGGCCAACGGCCAACCATTATTTCCCGCATTTCCTCCCCGTCCAAAAAAAAAAAAGTGGGAGCACATCATTTTACCTTTGGCTCCAAGTGACACTGTGTGACAGCTTACTACTCATCCCGCCATTATTATCCGTCCACACAACTAGTAACACTAAGGCCTTGTTTAGATTCTAAGTTTTTTCACTCTCTCTTCATCACATTAAATTTTTGAACATCCCGCCATTATTATCCGTCCACACAACTAGTAACACTAATGCCAAACAAATTAAAGAAGCTTTGCTGGAGACGACGAAGCAAATCGATTGTGTCCAGTCTCGAACGACGACACAGCGGGAGGGGGAGAACATAGGAAAAATCACGTTGAGCTGCCTGATATCCGACGATGATGATTTGATGGCAACAGGCTGATCTCCCGCTTTTGATCCGCTAATAAACACGCAATGCAGATCAGTGTCGCCACACGTCTCACTCTTCTTTTGCACTACAAAGCTAGCTACTCATGGAACGGTGGATCTGCGTCTCTCTCTCTCTCTCGATCCAAAAGATATATATACTTCTTTTTTATTCATTTTCAAGAGGCCGTTGTTTCGGGTTTCAATTCTCAGTTGATGATGACGACATTTATAGCACGCCTTCATTTTACAGTAGCCACCAACTCTACCAAGTAGCATAATACACCTTTCTCATACGCAGGGGCGGAGCCTGAAATTGAGTATAGGGGGGCATGTATTTGAGTAGAACCCGCACCATGGTTGTAGTCACATATATAATGGAATATGTTTCACAAATCCTAACCAAAAAAATTACATATCTATTAATGCATCTGAATATCTGATCCAACTTTGTGTGAAGGTGTCGCCTGCCCTAAGCGCGATTTGTGTGAGGTGAATATTCTAGCCAATTTGGACTGTTGATTAAATGATTAGATAAGAGAAATACTACTGGATGATTAGGGATTACCTGCTGCTGCTAGTGGCCTGCAGACAATTTGGACGAGAAACGACGGTGTCAATTTGGGACGCCGACGGCGGCGCAGCATGGCGTCTCACATCCGGCCTCCCAATTCAGCTGTACCGGCGTCCGGCAAAGCGGCAAAGCAGAAGAGAGAAGACGAACAAACTAGAACAGTATATGGCCAACGCTACACGAGGAAAAGGAAGACTTGGATGCTTCGTATTCACAACCTAACGAAGATAGCAGCCGGATAAGCTTAAATGGGCTGCTTCTTATTGGGCCTCTAAGACACTTCACGTTTGTGCTGAATGGAAGGGGCTAAACAGCTAGTATTATACATGTATATACTAACTATATACTAAGGGATTAGTAGCACGTTAGGGGGCCAGGCCCCCGGTGCCCCCCGCTCCCTCCGCCACTGCTCATACGGTCATACTGATATACGCACTGAGAACTCGGAAAGGAGTATGGCTCGGGTGATCAACTTGATCAGCCTTCAATGGACAAGATGAGTTCAAATCACCGCGGTGCCATGCACCCCCGCTAGGGTTTGGA